AGCACACACCGAGCAACGCACGCACCCGGCAGTGCAAATACAACGAGAAGAAGAATAACCCCAAGAGCAGGCAACACCTTCACGCATGACGGACATCGTGCAGACGCGTCAGCCGGCCTCCAGCACAATGCAAAAGGCGTCCCACACACATCCATCCAATGGCACCGCAATTCCCACCGCAGGCACACACGCAGCGACCTCGCCATGTCAGCACGGGACACAAGCCAACGTCCCGCCGTCGCCAAGAGCATTCCTGCAGAGCACTGTGCAAATAATTTTGTGCGTGCTGGAGAAGCAGAAAAGAAGAGGAGCGCAGGAAGACACATCAGCACAGCAAGAGGCACAGCTGGATGGCAGCGATACATGCGGTACGGCCCAAACTCAACAATCACACACAGTGGCGGCACACACCCATCAAATAAAAAACAAAAAAAAGAAATCTTAAAAACACGGCGGCAGGGTGTGGCTGTGTGTGTGGCGCTGCGGGTGTCTGCCAGCCCAGGCCGCAAAAACAAAACAAAACAAGAGGGAAGAAATATGTGCTCCGCCCCACAGGCCCTCGTCGCACGCCCACACGTCACGGCTCCCGCAGCGCGCCGTCCGTCGCGGCCCCTCATGCGTGCAGCAGGCGAGGCGCACAGGGCCGTCGTCGTGAGCGTGTCGGTGGGTGTGCGAGTGGAGCAGTTGGGCGGGAAACACACGGCACCCCTCGCAGGAAGAGTGCAGCAACAAACAAAGAGGGAAGAGTAGAAAAGAAAAAAACGTCCATGGTGACTGCCCCAAAAAGCAAGAAAGAGAAGAGATGGGGGAGTAAAAGGTTAGGAAACAATAGAAAAAATTAAGGAGAATAAACCATTAAAAAATGAAAAAAACTCACAACGCCCCGAAGGAAGTAAAAAACAAGGAAAATAAGCACAAAAAACAGGTAACAACAAAACAACAACAGAGAAAAAAAAAAAGTAAAAAAAAAGTAGAAAAACAAAAAACTAAACACAAGAAGCTGCAAAGAATGGCGCCAGAGTGCATGCATTCTCACACAAAAATGCTTTCACGCAAACAGTTGTATGCGTGTCGTGCATACGAGTGTGTCTGGGATGCGTGCCACGTGACGGATACGGAGGCAGAATAATGGAGCACACAGCAGCGCAGCAGAAGCAAATGAAGAGAGCACACAATCATTATTTTCTTTTAGTTATTACGCAATAAAACAAAATAAGCGCGCAAATCCCTGTGATTGAGTGCTGGCAATTATAGCACGCATTCACTTCTTCAGCCCAGTGTCCCGTACGTGA